TGAAAAAGTAACTAATGAACAGAGGAAATGTTAGTTTAGTGCCAGGAATGCCTGCATTGTTTATTCTGGGCCCTATTTTGAAATTGGAGTACAGTGGCCCGTCGAGTTTCGTGATTAATCCGTTCCAGAGAGCCTGCTGAAAGTCGAAATTCACAAAACTCGAAACCATTTTTCCCATAAGAAATAATGGAAATAAAATTAATCCGTTCCAGACACCCAAAAATATTAAAATAAAATATTTTTTTTTCAAATTAAATAAAGATTTACTTACTGAAAACAATCAAAAATCAAGTACACGCATTTAAAAAATAATAATAACATTACACTTACCTTTACTGAAGACTTCTGGGTGGATGGAAGACGGGAGGAGGGGAGAGGAGGAAAGTGTACACTACTGTTTTTAGAAAGAGAATCTCCTTCCATTAGGACTTCAGGTACTGGGGTTACTTTCCTTCTTTGTTTTTTAAAGACACTGGCACTGGGAACAACTTGAGAGCCACTGGACCCCTGTCGCACAAAATATCTGTCCAGAGAGCTGTTTCTGGCGTTTCTTTAAGATTTGTCTGAAGTGGGACACAACACTGTCATTGTACATGTTGCCAATACGGCTTGCAACAGCTTTGTTAGGGTGAAGTTCATCGATAAATGTTTGCACTTTAGTCCACTTTGCACAAATGTCCTTAATCTTTGAAGAAGGCACCTTCCTCCATCTCTCTTCCTCCTCCTCCTCTGCAGCAGTTTCCTGAGCTGTGATCTCTTGCTGTTGCAGATGAAGCTCTTGCAGCTCTTCAGTGGTTAGCTCTTCCCTGTGGTCCTCCACCAACTCTTCCACATCCTCACCACTCGCCTCCAACCCCAGGGACATCCCCAATGCCACAATAGATTCCTCACTTTCTTTACCAAAGGGCTTGCACTAGCTTTCCTTGGGCCCATGGTGACTTACTTACCAGTTGCAATCACAAAAAACAATGGATTATTACGTATGAACCCGCGGGGTGATGGTCACGTGTTGGTAAACAATGGCACTCTGAGCGTGAATGGCATGGGGGACTGGCTTGGTGTGCACGGTGACAGGCGGATGGGTACTGGACGGTCGCCGAATCACGAGTCTAATCACAAAACTCGAGGCCAAACTTGATGAAAGTTGAATTTCATGAAAGTCGATGCTACCGAAACTCGAGGGTCCACTGTATTTTGAACTCTGCATTAAATTGGCCAAATTACCAATTTCCAATCACTTTATTTTGTAGTTGAAACAGTTGACTTGGTGAATTCTTGTGCTCCGTCGATATAATGGAAGTAATACTAGTGAAATAGCTAAGAATTTGGTCGACTGGAATAATGTAATTGGCCTAAAATGGGAGTAAAAGTCAGCAAAATTGCCAATGCGTAAATGTCGCTGACACATCAAAATTCGCGAGAGCATAATTTCGTCAATTTTCCATCAAATTTCATACTTTTTGTTTTATTACCTTCAGAAAAAGATTCTCTACCATTTCATAAGAAAAAATAACAAAAATATTTTTGGAAAATTCTTGGATACTGGTGCACAATTTGAAATTTGGCCTCTGGACCCTGAAAGAGTTAAAATATGGCAATTAATGCGTATCTGAACAAACACAATGAGCTACTGGCATAGGTTCGTCCAACACACATGAACTGAACTGAAGGCTGGGAGGGTGGTGGGGGTAGCTGATGCTGGTGGGGGATGGTGGTAGGTCTCCCTCGTTGACTTAGTGGTGTAACTCACAGTCCATCCCGCCCTACGGGTGACCACGCACTCAAATTTTTTTCACCTCCCACAACCATGTTAAATTAATTTTACGAAGTGTTAAACAAAAATATGCTGCAATTCTTCAGTTGTGCTATAACCAAAACGTGCCAGACAAAACCGTGTTAAATGACAGTCTACTGTTTATAATGTATGCCCCTTACCAAGATATGGTTCCATCATTGTTATAACCACATCACCAGAGATACCCAATAACTTCCTGGTATCTTGCACTGTATTATTTCCAGTGTACACAATTACAGTGGACCTCCGGTTTTCGTGTAGTCCACATATTGTACAATTCGGTTTTAGAACACTTTTTTGGGCAAAATTTTGGTCTGTTTTTTTGTACCTTAATCCGGAAATCATACATATCATACATGTCTGCCTGCCCGGGAATGCCGTAAGTCTGGCTTTCTCACTGGTTGAGTGAGCATTCATCCAAAACATTTCACAATTTTTGTACTTGTTTATTGATTGCGACTGTGAAATAAGCCACCATGGGCCCAAAGAAAGTACCTAGTCCAGCCCTATGGTAAAGAAGGTGAGAAACACGATAGAATTCAAGAAAGAGATTGTAGAAAAATATGAAAGTGGTGTATGTTTAGCCGAGCTTGCCAGGATGTATGGAAAGTCGAAATCAACAATCTGTTCCATCCTGGCTAGGAAAGTAGAAATCAAGGAAGCTAAAGTTGCGAAAGGGGTAAATGTGCTAATGAAACAGAGATCACAAACAATCAAAGGTGCCTTCTTCAGTGATTAAGGACATGTGTGCAAAGTGGAATGAGTCGCACACTTTTGTTAAAAAATATTGCCCTGACATAGCTGATACAAGCCGTATCTGCAAAGTGTTCAGTGACGATACTTCGTCCCATTTTAGGCAAATCTTAGAGACACCAGAAATAGAGCACTCTGGACAGATTTTTAGTACGACAGGGGTGCAGTGCCAGTAAAAACAAAGAAGGGAAATAACCATAACCCCAGAGTGGGCTTTGATACATGAAGTCCTTATGGAGGGGGATACCCCTTCCAAACAATAACCATAACTCCCTCTCCCCTCCTCGCCTTCTTCAGTACTCCAACAAGAGTCTTCAATGAAGGTATGTAATGTTCATTTATCATTAAAATTAGTCATTTATATTTACTTCTCATTGTTTTCTATATGTAAAACTGTATTCTTTAAGAAAACATATTTTTTGTTAATATTTTTGGGTGTCTGGAACGGATTAATTGTATTTACATTATTTCTTTTGGGAAATATTAATTCAGTTTTCGTACATTTTGGGTGTAGACCGACCTTCTGGAATGGATTAGGTACGAAAACCGGAGGTCCACTGCATATCCAATGCAAGACCACTGTAGCAGTCACAGAGTATGTACATACAAACAACTTTATATTAAAGCATTTCCTCTTGCTTGGTATATGCTGCTTGAATGACAGTCCACCTTTGAACAAAATCAAAGAGTCATCAATAACAATCTTCCTGAAGGCTTAAAAATACATTGAGAATTTCTGTTTCAGATACACAAATACATTTCTAATCTTATATAACCTGTTGTTTCTGTCAGGCCTTGTCTTGTCTCAGAAGTGTAGCATATTTAATAGAAGAAATTGATTCGCTGGTATTACATCACTGAAAGCTGGGGTTGAAATCAGGCGGTCTGTTGACCAATATGATTTGATACTGTGCTTATATGCATGTGGCATAAGTATTATTGTGGCAAAGAAAAGATACATCTCAGCCACAGCTGTGTCCTTTGACTGGTGTAGGCGTGATCTTGGTGAAAGAATTGTTTGCCATGGTGTACTCGAAGTATGTGTTACTCTCCCTAACAATAATTTCCATCAGGGGTTCATCAAAGAATAATTCAAAACATTCCAGTTCAGTGGCATTGTTCCCAAATGTACAAGATGGCTGTATTCCACTTTGAGTTTCATCAAGGTGATGGAGATTTGGAACAAAATTGGCACCCTGCTGCCAATCCCAGATGCGGTCTGCTGGTGGGTACTGGATATTGACAGGTGGTTGTGCAGGTTGGTGTGGTGGGTGAGGGTGGCCTTTGTTGTAGCTGTGCTGAGTCAGCGGATTGGCTACCAGCATGGGCCGCTGCTGGTGCCTCATGGCACATGGCACCACTATGATCTGATGATGCATGCACATTATCCATCCCAGATGTAACAATATCATCATTTTCACAATCTGTTCCTGGTGTAGGACCACAGGGTGTACTCAGAGATGTACTCCTGGTAGTATGCCATATGCTATTCCCCTTGGAATAGCATATGGCATACTACCATAACGCATGTAGGGTCGTACATACTGATGCTTCGCTGGAGAATATTCCACTCCACTCTTGCTATTGGAACTGTATTCAAGAGCTTGGATATCATAATCACTATCACTATCATCACAACTCACATCTGAGTCCCGGACACGGGAAAATATGAGTTTCCACTTTCGTTCTGGTGCAACTGAACATGAACAAGACGGCCCAGCACCAGAGGTGGAAGGTTGAGGTTCATCTGGGTTTTCATCACAATTATCGGTATCCTGGTCATTACTTTCGGTCACAAACTCCTGAAAATCATTAAATTAATCTTCACTGACATTTCCATCTGTGTTTGAACTATCACTTGGGAACAAGAGTGTCCCAGTTCGCCAGGAAGTGAGGAGTTTCTTACTGCAAGGCATGGTAAACAAGGTGTACTGAAATGGCATTCCCACAATACAATGCGGGTGCCTCAATTTTTTTCATACTGCACACATTGATGATGCAGACTCATTCTCTTACATGTAGGCCTACCAGCTTTCTCCCACTAATTTGAAGGCGCTAGAATTTTGGCGTAGTATTATGGGACCAACATTGGCTCTCAAGCTGTAATACTATGGGACCGACACTGATTGTATTAATGATTGTACAGTATATCATCATCACTGTAAATTTTTTTATTTCTGCAGCTAAGATTTGTACCAAATCAGGACCCCAATGGAAATAAGTCACTGTGTCTGACTTTTTTGGATTATCCTAGGTTCTCTACATATATGCTGCTATGTATGATAATTCTATGTAACTGTATTTGTGTATACCTGAATAAACTTACTAACTGTAGGTATGTTAGAACAAAGTTGCTTTTAACTCTGTATTAAATGCAAGATATCCCATTTATAATAAGTATTTCTTCAGGTGATGTACAAGATAATATAGTTCTACACTTGTGTATTGGCAGCCAGTGTAGGCGGAGAAGAAGGTGGGGATGAAGAGAAGAAGAGACAAAAGCGGGGTGGAAAGGGCATGGTGAAGGCAAAAAAGAAGGCTGAGGAAGGTCCCCGTAAGGTTGTGGTGTTTGTAGCGCCACGTGGCAAGAAAAGGAACACGGTCATCACTGGCCTAAAGACATTTAGTGAGTGACTACTTTGTACTCTTATTATTACATTCATGAGGTTAGGTCAGGTAAGCTTTTGGTCATCTGACCAAGGCTTTTGCTGGCTTACCAGTCCACCCTTTTAAAAATTATGGTCATAGTTATAACCATTTTTTTTTTCATTTCATGAGGATGTGCTACACCCATTGTCGGCAATAGTAGTGCCTGGGGGAATTGGGTGCATCCAGGTTCAGTCCAAGGAAGGGGAGCACAGGTCCAGTTCCTTAGATCAAGAGCCCCTCGCTGGCACCAAGGAACCTCCCTTGGGGGATTTTGTACTCAAATATTTAACTTAATTACTATATATGTATTAGGGTATACCTCATGGCTTTGTAATGTTTATTATATTGGACTCCATAGCATTCTGTTCTGCTTTTCTGTCGAGGAAACTTTAGTCTTGCCTCACTGGATTAGGTTAATTGTTGAATTTTTAAATTTCACATGTAACAGCAAAGTATTTATTAACCCTTTCACTGTCTTATCCATAGATATACTTTAATGATGCCAGGGTTACTTGTGTGGATTTATATTTTGATCTCAGCTTCCTCGGATACGGTGTAAGTGTTAAATTTTGGCCTAGACATGAGAGAATGGGTTTGTGCTGTGAGTGTGCACTAAAGGTACATTAAAGGTGCTTTAGAGCAAGGGTTTCCAAATGCAGGGTTGTGACCCTAAAACAATCCTGCTAGTATCTCTTAGCAAATTTCCATCTTCAATAGGGAATGAAAATTTTTTATCACATTTATTGCTGTACTGCACTTGTATTTTTTAACTGTAGTGTAGGTGTGCCTCTGGCAAGATGGTGATGGAGTAAACGATGATGAAAGTGTTTCTTCTTTTTTTGGGTCACCCTACCTCGGTGAGAGACAGCCGATGTGTTAATAAAAAAAAATAGTTATGAGTGGAAAAAACAGATAAAGTATCTTCATCCTCTTCAGAAATGGGCAGGACTTGACTTGTGGCAAGCAGTCCCAAAAATTACCTTGTTGATTGAATCCTCTTGTTTTTACCATTATTTAATTAGAAGGATTTGTAATTTGTAAATTTTTTTTTTTTCAGATATTGATCTTAAGGTTGCAGCAAAGTTCTTTGGGACAAAGTTTGCCTGTGGTTCATCAGTGACTGGTGATGATGAAATTGTTGTTCAGGGTGACATTAAGGATGATTTGTTGGACCTCATACCTGAGAAATGGCCAGAAGTAAGATGCACTGTTTCATTGTTAAATACTGTGCCATATTATGGAAGTGTACTATACAAGTATACACAAATATACTCCTGTGATTGGTAACTGTGGTACCAAGTTTGTTGAGAACCTTGTGTGATTATCTGTTTGCAATTACGTACTTGATACATGTTTGTAGCTTCAGGAGTGGCGCTTTGCTTGTAATATTCCATCACTAATATTTTCATCATATATATTAAATTTCCAATGGTTGTATCATATACTACCTCATGTGTCTTCACCAGTTTAACCATTTTACTTTTATTTGTACATATCAGCCTTAGTGTGTACATGTTTCTTTCATAAGCTCTATAAAATGAGTTAATATATTCATTATTAGTGCAACTCTGTGTTCAGACTTTTATAATACACAGGTCTGACACATTTTGAATTTGCTGCTTTTCCTGCAATATTTTTCATTAATATAATTTATCTGCAGATTGAAGAAGACAGCATAGAAGATGGCGGCGAACACAAGCGTTAAACTGACGTGAACATGTCTGTTAACCTATCATAATGATGTAAAAGTTTAAATAAAATTGTAAAAATTAATCTTTGTTTTATTTTGTTAATTACAGGTTTAGTGCTTCGTTATGATTATAATAATTTATTTTGTTAATATTTAAAGTAAAGATTATAAAACTTAGTCAGATGCTTATTCTTGCTGCTTTAAATATTCCATGAATAACTAACTTGTTTATTATTACAGATATGAATAGTAGAGTTTGCTTTCACTTAGTGCCCATTTTTAATAGTTGTAAAAGCTAAGTCACAAGTTTAAAACTTTTGGGGAATATAAAAGGGGTCACCATTCATAGGGCTGAGGAGGGGTTGTCGAGTCCATTTGGGCATGTAGAGGATTGACTGTAATGAGATAGTTAATTTTTATTATATGAGTTATGTGAACCCAAAAGGGTAATGCAGTAATGCAGGAAGAGATGTGCCAAGGGTAGGAGGGGGGAGTGTTAGTGGAAATAGAGGAGAGTGCAAGAGTAAAAGTTGGTGCAATAAGCTAGTTTAAAAAAAAAAATGCATCAAAGATGGGGCTTTCAGTGAGGTTGTTCACTGGTAGAGACAGTAGAAATGAATTTTGTGAGCCTGCTGATAAACTGAATTTATCAAGACCTACATAGTGGACTGTGACAAAAAAGATGTATAAATCGAGTGGAAGGTAGGAGAAAGGGGTAAACAAGGCTTTGAGTTTTAGGGGCTTAAGCATCCAGCAGGCTTGTGTGAATGTGTAAGACAGGAATGAATGGAGGTGAGTGGTTTTTAATAACTGTGCTGTTGGAGTATGAGCAAGGTAACTTATAGAGCAACTGGTTAGCTGGACCCGAGTCCTGAAGGATAGGTGAGGAAGTTGGAGTTGCAGTATAATCCAAATTGTGATTTCAGCACACTTGGCAAGACAACTGAATGAATGATGATAAGTGTGTTTTGGAGTCACCTTGGCAGTAGATAGCCATAAAAAAAAAAAAAAACAGGGAGGGCAGTTAAGGGTTAAACACCGGAGTGACTTGAGAGTCCTAGCCACTGATGTTCCTCTATGACCTCTGCAATCTTCATATCTTGCTATATGACCCTTGTGGGTTTAGTATTTAGTTCTGATTAATTTTATTATAATATGAAGAATAAAGATTTTATTTCTTTGTAGAGGTTACAATGTGTAATTCCTCTTCAAGGGGGGCTCCTTGGCGTGGTGAAGAGGCTCTTGGTCTGAGGAATTAGACCTGTCGGTCTACTTCCTCAGACCAAACCTAATTACCCCCCAATCCCCCGTTCCCTATCCCATCCTCCCCTTTTTCCTTTCCTCCTCCTCCTCCCCACCCCTCCCTTTTGCCCTTCCTTTTTGGCCTTTTTTTTTTTTTTTTTTCCACAGGCACGCTAGTTCCTAGGTAGGGGAAAGGGTACCGGGGTCCATCCCATTCCGTTGAGGTTCTTGACGGTGGCGTAGTTTGCCATGGAATCTGGATTGCCTGGGGATGTCCTGATCCCTCTCCGGTATCCCGGATGGTGGCTTTGGGTGTCTCTCGGGCGACGGGTGTATCTCTGGAAGCCACCTTTCGGATTCCGGGGGTGGTGGCCGAAGGAGTATGCTTTGTGGCGGATTTTCCGGCCGCCCTCTCTTTTGTCCACCGAGGTAGCTCGGCAGATGTGAGGTTGCTATCCCGATTGCCGGTTTACTGGCATGATGGGTAAGGGTATGGCACGGGTTCCATGCTGCATCTGCGCTACTTGCGGTGCTGAGGTCCTCTTGGGCGCGGAGGGAGATTTCTGGCCCTTTCATTCCTCCTAGGAACTATCCCTCCCCGGTCCCCCCCTTTTTTTTCTTCTTTTTATTTTTATTTTCTTTTCTTCTTTCTTTTTTTTCTTAAAAACAAAAAGAAAGAAGTAACCTAACCATGGCAGCCCTAGTCCATGAACCTGCTACCCCCGGGCCCCTTCTTGATACCGCACCCCGTTCTGACCCCGCCTCGTCTTTGGACCACTCTTCGGACACTCCTCATGCCTCTGTACCTCTTGCCGGTGCTGTTTCCTCACCCGCTTCAGGTACTGAGGCCTCGACTGACTCCTTCGATTTATCTGACCTTCGCTCTCCTCTGACTATGCTTCTGGCCTCTCCCTCTACGGTGCGGCAATTTTCGAATCGCCGGCCCGTTCCACGTCGGACCAACTCTGGTCCCACGCCTCAACGACAATTACCTGCTGATGATACTTCTCCACCTTCTCGTTCTTCTCAGAAAAGATCGACACGTCCTTCACTATCTTTCCACGCTCAGTTTCAGACTGCACAATGGACTAAATTCTTCACTTTACGACCGACTTCCTCTACTGCCTATCTTTCTGACCACAGTATTGGCAAGGCACTCCTACGCCATATTGGTAAAGATATTTCTTTTCATGCTCTTAAGAGCGGTACGCGCATCGTCACCGTACAGAATGCTACCCAGGCTCATGAGCTTTCTCGTCTTTCCCATATCGATACTGTTCCTGTAACTATTGAAAAGCATCATTCCCTCAATTCTTGTAGTGGTACCATCATTCTGCCCCATACCATAGTTCAACAAAATTTCCAGACATGTGGCACTGACATTCTTGAACAGCTGGAACTCCAAGATCTCCCAATCCTCAAGGTAGACACTTACGTTCTTCCTGCCCGCGGGCGGAGACGATACCCTAGCAATGTGGCTCGTTTAACTTTTGACAGCCGTGAACTCCCATCCTCAGTTTATGTAGCAGGACATCGGTTACAAGTTCAAAAGGTGATCCCTACACCGCAACAGTGTAGAAATTGCTGGCGATTTGGCCATCCAGCGAAATATTGCAGATCTATCGCCGAATGCCCAGTCTGTGGTGCCGATGACCATTCTAATACGTCTTGCAATCGACCTCCCTCTTGCCTTAAATGTCATGAGGCTCACCCTTCGTACTCTCGCCGTTGTCAAGTCTACTTAAACGAGCGGGAAATCCGTTACCTCAAAGAGGCAGAAGGTCTCCCTTATGCCATGGCAGTTTCTCATCTCTGCCTCCAAGGGAGACTACCTCGTGTTCTTATTCCCGGTTTCAAAACGTCCCCCCACTTCTGGTATCCCATCTTCTGCACCACCTCTGTGGTTACCTCCCCATAGTCACTCCTGTAGCTAATTCTTTGCTGTCCTCGCTCAGACGTCCCTACTTCAACGTCTCAGTCTGATCTTGCTTCTTCGTGTTCTCTCTCACAAGCCTCAGTAGCGACGAGATCTCGTATGACACCTCCTCCCAATCGTCCCTCTACTTCTCAAAAGTCAAAAAAAGGTCCGTTAACACCTCCTACCCATCTTCCACCTCCTCATTTTCCCTTCCCTGTCTCTGTACCTGGTTCTCCCCCTCTCACTGGCTCTGTTACAAGTGTAGAGGTTCACCCTCCTCCTCGAACTGTACCTTCCTCCCCTGTTCCCTCCCAAGTTTCTTCCTCTTCGGCCACCTCCCAGGTTTCTGCCTCTTCTGTCCCCTTCCACGCTTCTCCAGTTCCCTACACCCTTCCGTCCCCCCCTACCTTGGTACAGTCCATTACAGTTCCAGTCTTTACTCATCCTCCCCCTACCATTTCCAATACTGTCTCCCATACGACGTCTCTGAATTCTGAAACACTTGAAGCAATCTCTGAATATATTGCAGAGACCAAACCATCAATGGACACTGATCCATCCTCCGCTCCTTCTCTCTCCTCTACTCCATCTACGCAACTCCTTTCTTCACAGCGCACCGTTCCTTTGCTGCTTGAACGTTTTCCACTGCCTCCGCATGTGGACTTTTCTAACCCCTCTAGTCCGTAGGAACCCTTACCTGCGGATTTCAGGTGTCTTTATCATTGCCAATCATGGCCTATTTACAGTGGAATATACGCGGCCTCAGGGGTAATCGGGGTGAGCTTCAGATGTTACTCTCCCAGTTTTCCCCTGTTGGTGTTTGCTTACAGGAACCAAAATTACACTCTGCTGTTATCTCTCCCATCTCAGGCTATAATTTATTGTATTCTTCAGATCCTTTTCCTGATGGGACCTTTAATGAAAGTGCCCTTCTTCTACGCACTGATATTCCGTACCATCAGCTATTTGTTCATACTTCGCTGCATTACACAGCAGCCCGTATCCACTTGCATAGGTGGTATACGCTCTGTTCTTTATATCTCTCTCCTTCTCGGGCATTATCTATTCCGGATATTGCCTTTCTTGTTTCGTCATTACCACCACCGATTCTGTTACTTGGTGATTTTAATGCCCACCATTTCCTCTGGGGGGGGGGTCTCACTGTGATTCCCGTGGCATTCAGTTAGAGGCTTTTCTTGCCACCCACCCCCTCCATGTTTTAAATACAGGTACTCACACCCATTTGATCCTCGGACTCACACTCTCTCTTGCATCGATCTCCAGTCTGCTCTTCTCGCCGCATTAGACTTCACTTGGTCTGTTTCTTCCGGACTTACATGACAGTGATCATTTCCCAATCATTCTTACTTCCCTTCATATCACCACCTCTTCGCATCCCACGCTGGCAATTTGATCAGGCAAATTGGAACCTTTACTCACACCTAACTGTTTTTAGAGAGGTTCCTTCTTCGTCCTCCATCGATGAGCTTTTACACCTCTTCTCGTCCTCCATTTTAACCGCAGCTTCTCATTCTATACCCCAAACTTCGGGCAGGCATTCTCAGAAATGCGTGCCTTGGTGGTCTCCTGCTTGTGCTCGTGCAGTACGTTTGAAACGCGCTGCATGGGGCAGGTACCGGTACAATAGAACCACAGAGACTTCTTGAATTTAAGCAGAAGCGTGCGATTGCTCGCCGTGTCATCCGTGACGCTAAACGCACTTGCTGGCAATTATGTCTCCACCATCACCTCTGCCTTCCTCTATGAGTGCAGTCTGAAAAAAGTACGAAAACTGAGTGAGTAAATATTCTCCTGACCGGCTCCTGTTCTGCAGGTTGCCGGTGTTGATATAGCAAACCACTAGATGTTGCCAATGAAATTGGCAATCATCTGTCCGTATTTCTCAGGGCTCCATCTATGCCC